TGATCCTGATCCTGCCCTATTAAAATTAATGGGAGGTTTGTTATTGACTTCAGTGGGTAGAGGATCAATGAGAAGTGATTTTGTTAAGTATAGAAAGTGAGTGTGTGTGTACTGTATCTCGCTATATTTGGACATGTGTATTCATATACTTAAGATACAGAGGTTGATGCCCTACACTTAAACAAAAAAATATAATACCTCTCCCATACCGTATCACCAGTATATACATCACGTATCAGCCTCTCTGACATTTCAAACCCCACAGCCACACGCTAGTGTGCCCGGTTTCTGATGAGCTGTACTGTTTTGGGAGCAATGCTATACAACTGTGGTCCTGAGGTCCTTATTCAGACTTTTTTCTCCCAGTGGGAGCTTTGCTTGAGAAAGGACTGCAGGATCTAACCCAGGTGTGTTTTTCCCCTCCCAGAGCAATCTGTTCATATCTGAAATGGAATCTTCAGTGGGTTCAGATTTTTCCTCTGGCCTATTGGACCTTTTCAAATCTTATTGGAAAAGAAGCTTATTCGAGGTTCTTCAGTAGCTTATCACAGGGTCCCGCAGAGACTGGGAGCAAATCTCAGACAGCACCGAACATCAGCGTCTAAATGTGTAACGTGGATAAAACTTTATAGATTCCAAGGCAAATGCGTCTGCAGCTTCTGTGCCCGGAGGCGAGGCAGCCCCCTTACAGTGAGGCACGTACTGTACTCATGGCAGCATGCCTATCTCTTCCTGAGCTGCCGTCATTGTCCCTTCCCTCACCCCACAGTGCTCACTGTGTAAAGGTGATTATTTCGCTGGATTTCCTTGGTCTTTCTAATAACCCTGCTGGTATGCTCACAATAAACCAGTGCACTTTATTACAACCCTGATTCAATCAGTGAGCATGGTTTAATAGTGTGCGAAAAAATGTCTCCCTCAAGCCTCCAGGAGAACAAGTCTCTGTTTCCAATCTTTTCTTTTCTTATTCTTGGGTCAGATGCAAGTCCAAGGCTTAAACTCTACACCATCACTGACTTAAATGGCTAGTGATTTGATATAGGTTTATTGACCGATAAAAACACATTTTGGAACCAAATCTGCGTCGCATTAAACTAATAAAAAAGCAGCTACAGAAACACTGTGTGCACTTGTTATTGCTTGTGGGTTGTAGATTAATGAGAAATAATTGCTCTTATTCATTTACTGTTAAGAATTCTTACAAACCCAGTAACTAATTTTTACCATATAATGCAGCATATACATAAGTGTATATATTCACAAACAAAACCTTTTTAGCTACCTACGGTACGATGATCTGAGCTGCTTTCACTAAAGGCCTGGGCCCAAATCATGGCATTAGTTTTTAAACAAAACACATTTATTGAAATCAATTGGAAATTCCGTTAAAAAACTGATTGCACGATTTGCCCTCTGGTCTAGCACATCTGAAATAAATATTACTTTGTCCCTTTGGCACAAATGATCGTAGATAGATAAGCTAGATCTATATTTATAGCAGCGGGCTAGCTATGGGATCTGTACTTCTTTTACGTTTTAAAAGGATGAAACTGGATTTAAATAATCACATTCTTGGAAATATTTGAGTTTTCACGGTAGTACAAAATCCTTTGTTTGAAAACAAAACAAAACTGTTCTTGGATTGTCTCCATGTCCCTTTCAAAATTAAAATGTTGCACTCTGACAAGAAACGTCACTTCTAAGACCCTGTTGATTCCATTCCCACTGAAGTTGCTTACTATATTTTTGGGAGAAGTTTTTTATTTGTAAACCTCAACGCATTTCTAAAAGCTGTCCGAAGGTTATGAAAGTGTTTCTCGAGGGGTTGGCGAGAATATGCAATTGCGAACGCGTGTGTCCTGAAAACGGATAAGGAAGATTATTGTTCTGATCATAAAACCAAGGTGAAGAATTAATCTAATCTGTAGAACGGGATTTACAATTAAACGAGGCTATAATCTGGCATTTCGAAAGTGCAGATTCCGCCTGGGCAGATGGAAACTCTTTGCGGAGGTAAGGTTCACGTACTGTTTTCTGGACCAAGGTCCATTTCCCAGGAGCTGCTGTAAAGTACTGAATTCCTGTAGCTGCTGTTGCTTTACAAATCAGCCTCTGAGTTTATTTTCAAGATTTTAACACTGTGCGGTTTTGTTTGGTCAGCTTCACTGCTGAGATAAATTTAGCCAATGCAAACTTTAAACCTTCCTTTCCTAAAGAACATCCAGAACCGTTTGCATTGTTAAGAAGTTGCTTTTCTGCGAGCGAAGCAGCCAACAAAGGTTAAACATTGCTTTCCAAAGTGAAGGCTGGGTTTTTTTAGATCTAAAGCTACAGTGCAATTCTCTGAGATGAACTGAGGAATGACTGACAGCCCTTCAAGAAGGGGGGGGGGGACCCAATGAAGAGGGTCGTCTGTATTTGTTACTTGTTGAAATTCCCATAAAATTGAACAAGACCCTTCTCTCATATGGGTTAAGTCAGGCTAAAATCCTCTTCGGTGTGGTCCAGCCCAGACTGTCTTTGTTTGGTTAACCTCCAAGACCCACATTTAAAAGGGCTATTTGGAAAATTCCCCCCTAAGAACTTAACATCTTTTACCCATTTTTGTGCCTTGTTTTCTCCACTAATGTCCCCTTTGCAGTTTTTCTAAGAATACATTTTCTATAATCACTAGAGCAGGCAGGGAGGGGAGAAATCCAGACACATTTTCCTCTCTGGTGGTAGAAATAAATTGGATCTGCTTTAATCTCTTCTACATTTTTAAAGATTAGCGGGGGTTTTCCCCCCGCCGCAGCCTGCAAGACTTTGGAGGTAAGATTTATACGATCTGAAGAGAAAGATTAAACACCTTTTTAAATCACTCCTGCTATAAAGCTCTCTGGGTTTTTTGTATTTAATGACGGATTTGTAATTCTTTATGGTTTTCCTAGTATTTCTGGCTAAGAAATCAAACAAACGTACAAGACGGGTTGAAACTGACAATACCATAAAGATAAGGATCTGGGTTTTAACCTCTAAACTAGTAATAACAACAACACTAACGGGCATGTTCAGATTAAGATCCAAACCCATAGCAAGACAGTAGTGGATGGTAATTTTTGTTCTCCCCATACTTAGCCAGAAACAGAGCAAATATGTTCACGAACAATAGCTCTATTTGTCCTTCTCGGACCGGGTTTTGTTTTCTCTTGTCAAGCTCTGTTTTCAGAGAAAACACAAAGCAGCCCCAGCCTCGCCCTTGTTCCTGGGCTCTTATCTGACAGCTTCAGTAAACCAGAGTCAACCGCCAGATTGGCCAAACTAAGGCAGCAATTGGAGAGCCTCCTCTAATCCTAGCAAGAGACCAGCCCCAGCCGTTAAGGAATGAAAGTTGAAGGGGTATTACCTGACAGGTCCTCCCTGGCGTTTTGGTGCAGATAGCTTTGCTCCAAAGAGTAGCTGGACATGCTGGAGTGGATGCCCGCTGAGGCTGGGTTACTGGGTGGAAGGGCCTGCTGCTTTATATACGGAGATGCCCCTGATGCTGTCCAGTGAGCTGACGGGCTCGTGTAGGGGGAATGGCATTCAATTGCACTAGCCAGGGCGGGTGAAGATGGCACGGGGCTGCTGCTGCTGTCGGGACCGTAGTCCCCATTGGAAGTCACAGGGCAGCTGGCCATGTAGGTAGAGCCCGGGTTGGGGGACATGTGAGGGGCGTGATGCCCCCCGCTCAGCGCCTCGTAGCCCCCGGCCATGGAGTTAGTCATCATGTCTAGGTTGTAGCCGTTGGCGTGGCACGCTAGGGAGGCAGAGGGCGCCTGGAAGTCAAAGCCCTGAGGCAGGATGGAGGCGCTGAAGCCGATGCTGTTCATCATGCGGTACATGGGCTTGAGCGCCTGGCACTTTCTTCGGAAGCCCCGGGGCCGGCGGCGGAAGGAGCCTTCCTCGAACATGAACTCGCTGGCCGGGTCGATGGTCCAGTAGTGGCCTTTGCCGGGTCTGCCCAGCCCCTTGGGCAGCTTGATGAAGCACTCGTTGAGCGAGAGGTTGTGGCGCACCGAGTTCTTCCAGCCCTGGTAGGAGCCGCGGAAGAAGGGGAAGCGACTCTGCAGGAACTGGTAGATCTCGCTCAGGGTCAGCCGCTTGGTGGGCGAGCTCTGGATGGCCATCACGATGAGGGCGATGTAGGAGTAAGGGGGCTTCTCGGGCCGCCGCAGCCCCGAGCTCGCCTTCTTGTTCTTGCTGGAGGAGGAAGAGGAGGAGGAGGTCTCCAGGGCGGAGGGGGGCGGCTGGCTCATCAAGGCGGACTGGAGAGCTCCGGGAGCCGGGCTGCAGGAGCGGAGAGGGGCCGGGGGCTCCAGCTGCTGCTGGCTGCTCTCGGTGGTCATCTGGCGGAGGGAGGGAATGGAGGGGTGGGGTGAGACTGGAGCGGGGTGGCGGAGGGCGGGTGGGTGCCCTGATGGGCTTGTGGGGAGGGGGCGAGCTGCTACTCCCGGGGCACCTCCTAGTGCTGCTGCTGGAGGCGGCGGCTGCGGACTGCAGGCAGCGCCCTGTGCATCACTCCCCCAGCAGCGCCCGCCAGGCCCCTTGCGCAATGGCTCCCCTCCTTTCCGCCGCGGCGAGCGAGGCACTTGGCAGGACGGATTAGGCTGCACTCCGGCTCGCCCCCTGCCCCCTCACTGCACTGCCTTGGGGAGGGCTCAGCTCAGGGCTTCTGACATTCCAGCGTGGCCCCCCCGCACCTGGCGGCCATCCCTCGCTGCCTGATCCTTCGAGAGGAGGAAGCACGAGAGCCCCTCGAGTTTGGCGTCGCGGCTGAGCAGCCAAACAAAACCCGGCCACCTATCAGTTCCTTAAATCTTGCTCTTGTTCTTCAGACCCCCCTGAATCCCTCCGAGAACGCAGCCCAGCAGCAGCGAGACAGAGAGAGAGAGAGAGACCACCCCCTTTCCAGCTGGCCCCTGTCCTCTCGTCATCTGGGCAGGAGGCGCTGCAGCACCAGATCGCTCTAGCTGCCCTCCCTAACACACGCAATTACACCATTCATCAACCTCACTTAGACATTTCAGTCCCCACAACCACACGCCAGTGTGCCAGACTCCAAAGGTAACGTGCCGAGCTCTCTCTTTCCTGGCATGGCAATTGCATGCTCTCTTGTCGCTTGAAGGAATGTCCCCCCCCTTGGGATGGAGGGAGTTTCCCACAGAGCAGCAGCTCAGGGGAGAGCCTGGAGACCGCAGGGGGTGGGGGAGCATCTGAACGTACCTGTGCGTGGACTTTGCCCCGGCACCAGCCCCAGGTTCACTTTCCGCACCACCCAACAAACACGAATGTTGAGCAAGGAGCAGAATAATTCCGGTGTGTGTGTGTGTGTGTGCGTGCGTCAGTCACTGGGTATCTGCGTGGAACCCGAGACAGCAATATTGCCGCTGACAGCCTGCCAGGATTTTATATCGAGAACCAGCTCGCTAGACATTGCCAAAAAAATGATGCGCCCCTGGTGAAATCATTTCCAATGAAACCCCCGGTTCCGTTATAGGGTTACACGTGCTTGGAAATAGGGTCTGATCCAGGAATTAAGGGGGGGGGGGAGAAAGAGACAAAAGCTGTGTGTGTGTGTATGTGTGGAAGAGCTCTAAAGCCGTGTGTGGTGGGGGGGGGGAGGATGGATGGAAGTGGAGGAGAAAGGGATGCTGGAGCAAAGAGAAAGGAAAGGTTTGGGGCCGAGCAGGACGCCATATCAATGTGCCTGAAGCACTGTGTGTCTGTCTGTCTCCAGTGCAGCTCCTTGCAGTACTTGCTGGTGGGTATACGCAGGGAGGGGGTTGGGGTTGGGGCTGGTCTCAGACAGTGACCTGCAGTTGAGTGGAAGCAGGCTTTTTCCATCAAACTCTGCCTGGATACCACACACAGAGCCCAAGTGTCAGTTTACTGCCCTGAGCCCGGCTCCTTTTCCCTAAGCTCCACAGTAATTAGACAAAGAAAACCTAAATTAACTGAACAGGCGTCGACAGCTTCCTCCAGCTCACCACTGCTACATACATGGGAATGTGTCCGAAAATGGCTTGATTGTACCTGAGAATCAGCTAAGAAAACACTACAAAGCTCCACACTATTTACCACACATTTTAATAGGACCCCGCCCCCCACAATCGCTTTGCCAATATTGTTTACCTTTCGTAAGACATTGGTATAAATTGTTCCCATACTGTATTTGGAGGCGCGATTTCTGAGCTTGTTGGAATTACCTCCTCAGAGAATAAAAAAAATTTTTTTTGCATTTAAAATCTGTCCCTGAGCCTGATCAGCGAGAGCAATTCTTTTTCTCCTAAGCTCTGAGACATCAGTTTAAATGTCCAGATCATTCCACTATCAGAGAACTGTAAAATCTTCAAGCCCACATTTCAACACACTCCTATAGGTTCTCTCTATTAAATATAAAGGGGATAACTTTATGTGAAATAACTCCAACCTGATACATTTCAGTATACAATATTATGTGGGGGAGGGGGGAATTCGCTCAAAGTAACTTTCAGGAGAAATCTCTACTCGCGATGTAAGAAAATGCAATTGCATCATCTCTTTATTACAAAGCAAATCAGAAAGAACTTTCACAAGTAAACCAAAATAGCCCCAATTGGGCAGAGAAGCACCTCATATTTACCATCAGTATTCTGCATTAATCTCCACTTTATAGGGGGAAAGGGGCAACGAATTGCGTCAGAATCCTTATACCTGACAGGAATTTACTCTGCCTAGCAGACGATTACTTTAAACAAATCATTAAGAAGCCAGGCGTGCTATTTACAATGAATTCAAATGATCGTCGAGCACTAGCAGCACCAGTGGTGGTCTCTGCGTCTGAGTTTTACTGTCTTCTTTATTTTTAGCCACACGAATCCTGCGTCGGAGACAAGGTACTGAATGTTTCCAACAGTTTTTGCTGTTGGTATCGGCTTGAGGTTCCCAGGATTAAACAAAAGTACATTTGCTGGTTGGTGAAGATGTTTATTTTGGTTGGTGTATCGATTTTTGTGCTGAACCCAGCTTTGGAGCACAAATGCTCTGCTTTTACCATAGTATACGGACATTACACTTTTGGCAGATATGGTTAGTCAGATGGTGTTCTATAATCATCGTTTTTATTCTAGGAAATCTCTTCATTACTGCGGTTTCAGTTTCATGTCCGTGCCCCTCTGCTTCTTGGGATAAATGAAATAGCTTAAACCAGTTAAGAAAAGGGGAGACAAATATGAAAGATAAATGTTTACTGCTATCTCAGAAACCTCCCTTCTTAACTGCAGGCTCTCTCCCCCTCCCTCTCTCCCTGTTCTGAGGTCCGGCATATGAGAAGCATTTTTTCAATTAAATCCGAGACTGAAACTTAAACAAATCCCTTCAGTATTGTAAAAGTACGCTTCCTTAAGTCCTGGAGGATTTTCTCTCCACTGTCAGTTTCAGGGTGTCTGAATTTATCGAGATCTACATAGATTTAGACAGGCTGAGGCTGAGATAGATACATTTCAGCATTAGGGATATGACTGCGTTTTGCGCGAGTTGAAAATGCTGATCAACCAAAGCGATCATCCAATAGACTCTCTCAGCAAAACCTAGAGAAAAATCCGAGGAGACAAGTCCCTTCAAAGCGAATTGACTACGCAAGGAAGGAGGGGAAGGGCTGGAATGGGGAGAAGGATTTAGTACCAATCCCAGACTCTGCTGCCCTTTCTTTGTCCTAAGCCCTCAGACCTCTTGGCTTCTTTTGGACCTTTGGCACCAGGCCTGCAATCCCAATGTTTATTTGGATGGATTTTCCGTTTTGCAAACGCATATGTCGCAGACAGGACGCTTTTTATAGCCATCTTCCTCAGAACTGCATACTCCCTATGTCCTCCTTCAATGATTTGATGCCTCTTTTGGCTACGGGGGGAAACTTTGACATTTGAAAATCTTTGTAACAGATTAACCATCTAACTGCTTTTCCCATAGGGACTGTGTGTCCATAAAGCAATCAGTGCTCTCTTCGAATCAGCCTGTGTCTAAAGGATAGAAAAGGAAATGCTCTACAAAACATAAAGGCCTACCTTACTTGCAGTAAAAAAAAGTCAGCAGCACTTTAGGCAAGTAACTTTTAAAGGCAGTGTACCTTGAATAGTTTGTTATGAACCCAGCTGAGAATCCTACATTGCAGTAAGAGTAAGATGTTTTAAATGAAAGGATTTCTACTGTTTTCCAAAGTGTGCTAAATAAGCAGCAGGCGGTAGTAAATACATTTTACATTTTAGGACGGAATGTTTTCCCATGTCTTTGTGGATATCGAGGACGAGCCCTTTTACGGTATTCTCTGCTGCAGGAAAGTTTCCTTGGTCTGAGAAGTTTTACACCTCTCCCATTAGTGGGAATTTTATAGAATACCCTGGGGTAGGAGACACTAAGAGGAGAGAAATGGAGTTCGTTGGTTATGTACAAAAGCGGAGAGACACAAAAACTATATACAATAGCAAAGTATTCTTAAAATGAAATCAGTTGAGGAGAGGGAGAATGGGGAGTAAGAGAAAAGAGACGCCCGAAAACAATGTATCAGGGTCTCCATTATTATGCCTCACTCAAGCAAAACTCCCATTGATTTCGATTTACCCTGGATTTCAGTGGGATTTTTGCCTGAGGAGGAAGTGCAGGATCTGTGTGCTTGGAATTCTTCAAGTGGGAAACTAATGTGCAGGAATGTTCTACAGGGCCAGCTAACATCAGTGACATGGAAAGTGTGAAAGTTAGCTGCTCGGATCTCGCAGCCTTTTGCTATTTTATCTTGGAGCTTTTCTGTTTCCCAGGCACTGGTCTATTCAGCACGCTGAGATGGATTTTTCAGCTTTCCGGAAAGCTACTCTATAACCTAAGAATTTTTGCCTCTGTTCCCGAGTCTGCCTATACCATGCATTGTTTGAACTGGGTGAGTCTAAAATACCCTCTCTTCCTCTTCACGGTTTGAGAGAGGAGAGCTCCAGGGAAAGCCACGGCTAAAGTCCCTGGAAAGTCTCCTCTTGGAATGCAGCAATGCGTGCTTTCTAGATGGTAGATAATTTGTGAAGCAGCAACAGAAATGGATTGGGGAGAGAGTGGGCTGATGACCCCTTTAACTCTCCCAGATGTGAGACTGCTGCCGGACACCACCTTCAGACTCTCAGGCAGGCTACAGGCTCGCAGCAGAAAGATTGACAGACTTTTGCCAGGCAGCCTTCTGGACAGCAGGCCGGCTTAGGTATGCGAGGCAGCTAGGGTTAATTGTTCTGCTGGTCCAAACTGCTGTGTTGCAAAGGCGCCTTTCTCCACTGTCCTATAATTGTCCCGTTTGCTGTGAGCTGGCGAGCTAACAGTGAAATCCTACAGACGCCTTCACTTCATTATTGTAGTGTAGAGATCGCACTGCATGTGGGCAGAGACTCAGCAGTACCTACTGACTCAGAATTCGCCACTGTAGTTTCAATCGCTCATACTAACGTAATGTGTGTATATAAAGAATATGTCGTCTGACCTCCAGGCATTTATCATAGGAACTCCATACATATTACACACACCTACTGACAGGAATCTGTATAAAACACTCACTCTGTACTATCCTTTGTCTACTTCACAAGTGCCATCCTACGGTAATTTAGAACATAGCTCTTTGCCTATTGTTTTAGGTAGATCTTGCTTTTCCTCCGCCAGAGTACAATGTATAGGATTTCTCCCCCCAAGTCAGTGATCTGCACAATTCTATATGAACTTCCCGGAGCATCAAAATAACGCCCCTACTGCGGTCAGGATATAGGTCACCTCTTTAAAGGAAACACGACCCTTCCAAAAATATATAACAGCTCTGACGTAAAAAAAATCTTTTGTCTCCGGGCATCCTTTGTCGGGGTAAATAAAACGTGACAGGCGCTGAGTACAATAATAATAATAATAATTAATGTATTTTTTAAAAAGCAGAGAAAATACAAATTCTATGTCTGGTCTGGTTTTCCATCACAGCTCAGGCTAGGAGAGTGGAGTAGCAGCACACTTGGCTTAGAAAGGCGTGAGCCTTTTAGGCAGGGATGCAGGGATCTGTTGTGATTCCAATATATCACGCTGATGATAAGTGACAACTCTGCTTTGGCAGAATCTTCCAGCGAAGGATGCGAAGCGAGATCCGTCAGAACGGGAGAAATACGTTTATTGGTAGTAAAGGGCAATCTCAATTTGTAGTGCACATTTGAACACCAGCCTTATCCTGGAAGTTATTTTGGCTTCCTAGTAATTCTATTTAAAATAAAAATCCGAATCCTGCTCTCCACACGCCATTGACAGCAATGAATAAGGCCAGCAAGATTTGCCGGGAGATCTAAACACGCAATACCTTTTTGGTTTTGCTTTTAACTCTCCCAGGTTTACATTCCAATCAAATGAGATTGCTGCTCAAATGGCTATTATACATTGTCAATGATTTTCATACGAGGCTTCGACCTTCACTATCTTCCCCTACTATGTGAGTGAGGGAAAATGTCAGATCTGATTCCAGTCTAGTTGTTTTAAAAATACGCTTCCCCCACCCCCTTTAGAGCTGTAGAATTCTTCTGCTTTGCGGTGATCACTGAAGGCTGCTCGATTCTGATACTCTTATTTATATTAATTGGAACCTTACTCCAGTGACTTGTGGAACTGCTGACAGAGTAGGGTGGTGTTTGGACCGGAGTGGGTAAATTCTGTAAAGAAACACATGCGAGTCTGGGTTTCGCATTGCAGTGGGGAGTGGGGTTTGTAGCTAAATATTAAAGACACAGGGCATGATCCTGCTGCAGTGACGTCCAGGCAAAACTTCCATTATCTTCACTCATGCAAGATCAAGGCTGTGGTCTATAATTTGGACTGTGAAAGGAGAAGTTGTTGGATCCCGTGGAGCGAAAAAGACTCGATCTGTTTTTTTTTAAGGTTGCCTTGTTGGTGTGGAAAGCAGAGAGCAGCTCGCCTTAGCCTTGCGATGTTAACGGGCAGGGAGAAAAGTGCTGTGGATTGATGTGACATAACACGCAGTGTAATATGAATCTGACCTACGCTGTTTACGTTGGAAAGATGGGGATTCAAAGATTCGTTTCTGCCCATGCCGCGTATATTGAATGAGCTCATAGGAAAAGAACATTACGCGTCTCCTATCCTTTGCCGAGAGCCCAACTGGACGTCTGGGGAACGTGCTAATCAGGAGCAGGTTTCATGCTCCAGTTCGTGAGAGGTTTTCATTAATTTCTGAGTAAAGCCTATAAAATATAACGATCCACTCAAAGGTAGGGCCGAGTGACTGAGTGCCGGATTATTAAATGATTTACGAACATAGTTTGGAAAAAAGTAATAATCCAAGGAGCACCTAAGAGCGAGGCTGCCAATTCTTGAGCGAGTTTTGCGCTCCCCTGTCCACCTCCTCGGACATTCAGGGAGACCCTGGCGGCGACTAGGGCAGGAAGCAATAAAAGCCATTTTACATCATTTTTATGGACTGTGATTCGGCAGAACGTGCGTTGTGACCTGCAGCTCCGCCGCTGGAGCGTCTCCCAGGGAAATGGGTGAATCAAAGGGAAGAAGAAATGATGCGCTCCTTGAACTAGGGGTGCTGGGGGTGCTGCCCCACCCCCTGGCTTGCGGTGGGTTCCATCACACCGGGTTTACAGTCTGGTTCATGGCTCTCAGCCACTCACTGCACAAACTGTCCCAGAGCCCCTGTGCGCTCCCCTACTCCGGGTGGCCTTCTCTGAGCGCCTGCGCTGGAAGGGCTCCCCGAAGCTCACCTCTCCCCTGCATCCCCATCCCTGAGGCTGGGTTGATCAGCTGGCTTTCAGCGCCGGGCTGGCACAAAACGTCTCTGACGGGTTTAAACCCTTCATCAGCCACCACTGTTTTAGGGAGACGTTTCCTCTTTTTCCAAATACAATCCTCACACACCTCGCCAGAGGGGGAGGGGAGGGAGCCTACTTGAAACAAGAACAGATCCATGATCATGGTCAAAAGGCTACGCTGACCTTTCGGAAACCTAGAGCCGGCAGAATCGCCGGAGGATTTACTTGGCCTCCTCTTTGACTTTCACTGACATGGGCTGTACAGTTAAAGCGCCCGCTCCTTTCTTAAGCTCCTTAGGTTTTGGGGGCATGCCGCGTCCATCTTTTTCTCCCTCCCACCCCCAGGAAGGAAAAAGGAGCCTTGAACACCATGCCCTTGGCAGAAGGAACTGCTGCTCTGGAAGGGAGGGAGATGTGTGTGGGGTGGGGGGGCAAGGGGATTTGTATAGGGAGGGTGCTGAGAGCCATTGAATCAAACAGTAAACCCTGTATCTGATGGAAACCACTGCGGGGGGGTGGGGTGCAGCATTCCTAGTTCCAGCATCTATGGGTGGGTCAGACTCCAGCTGTTGTTTGATACCTGGGGTGGCTGCTGCTGTCACCAATCTCCCCCAGCCGCTTCCATTAACTCTGCTATCGCCGCTCACAAAGGGCCCACGCCCCAGTCCTTTTTCCCGGCTCCCCAGAAGGAGCCCCGCGCCCCCGTCCCTTTCTCCTGGTTTGTCCTTTCCGCTGGGTGGCGCTAGGCTCTTGTGAATGAGGGCTCAGGAGGCAGTCCCAGCACTTTCACCACCTGCCGGGCGAACGTGTCCCAGGAAGCCAGTTGCTCTCCGGAGAGCGCCGACACCTCCCAAGTGACTGATCGGGGGCACAGAATAGCAGCGCTGCAGGGCAGCACGCGTCTGCCGGTGAAACTGACGAGCGAGGAAATAGCTTGCTCCGCTTGCGCATACTGGGATCACGTTAAGCGGGGGGCCCATGCCTGTCTCTGTTGTTAAAGCCACGTGCCACTCTTAACCATTCTCCCTGTGCTCAGCTTGGCAGCCAGGCTTCAAGGCGAAATCAATGTTAGTTGATGGTTGTTACATTATTATTACTATTATTTTTAAAAGGGGTAGGATTTAGGAATGCCAAACGTGCTGAAAATATTTTGACAGGTTTATTCCCAACCCCGTGACTTAAGTGATTATTTGCTATTTATTTTTCTTGAGATCCAAACAAAAGTTTGTCTCTGGTGTTCGCACTACAACGGCAGAACGGTGTGTTTTTAAACTGGGTCACTGAAAATCTGCATTTCCACCCGCGAAAGATAGCCCGTGAGCACGGAATGTTACCTACTTGCCAGGGCAAAAATGACTCCGAATCATCTCCCTTAATCGCTCCCAAAGAATCTTTGCAAGATCCGCTGGGGCCTGGAACACAGGTTGTTGTGGGATGATTTCTAGCCGTGTGTGTTTTTTTCTAATTGCTTGACATTTTTACTCTGATGAGTACGTAAAGACAGATATCTCTAGATATACAAACATCCAGTTTCTAAACTCAGGGTTATTGGCCCGAGGCTGTCTGAAAACGCGCTAGCCTCAATGTAGTCTATTGACTATTGGGGTGGGATGGGGTGAGGTGGAGAAGGGGTTGGAGTGTCAGCACGTTTTCTCCTGAACACGGTGTTTCCTTGCTTTTGTGTCTTTAAATCAGACTCTTATTTATGATACACTTTCCCACGTTGCTTCCTTTGTGCGTAGATACGTGTCTTTAAACCGAGTTAAAAGCACTGTACTTTCGGTTACCTAATTTCCTCATTCGGTCTGGTAAGCATATTGTGTGGGGGTTTTTTAACCGAGTGTTTTGAGAAAGCTGTTTCCGAGACTCCCAGTTCATACGAAATAATTCATCAATCCAGCTCTACAATCCAGTTTCCTTTGCATTTGAAGGGCGGGGGAATGGTTTAAGATATAATTTGACTGGTGTGACAAGCCCACGCCTTTTATTGAAACTGTTCTAACTATTTTTCGTTAGGCTGAAATGTACACACATTTTAAAACAGTTTACAGCTTTGAGGATCTGGCCAATTTTAAAGGGAGTTTTCCCCAGATGAATTATGTCATGGACTGGGGGAAAGGACTTTTTCAAAGAACCCATTTGTTTAGCTTTTATGTCACCTTTGCTGATAACAACATCCACCCCTGTTTCTTACTACGCAAATAAATTCCCCCGCAGACTTTCTCAGGCAGAATTGTCCGTTCTTACCTATGTGTGTTAGAGCTGTGAGAAACTACATGGTAATTTACAATCGATTACAGTTCATCTGATGATGCTAAACACATTGTGTATGTTGAACAATAAAATACAACGGTGGCAAGGAGTTAGCAATATGTCATTGCATTTGAGTGCACTAGGAAAATCAACAGTAGTTTCTGAACCTGAATTCCTAAGGCAGGTTAGTTTAAGCATCCATCATCTATCCAGCTTCTAATGCTCTCGCATCATATTTGTCCCAAGGCAATGTAAGAAAGACCATTTTAAACAGAAGACACCACACTTCAGCTGTGTTCACATTGATTAGAACTTCGAGTAGAGTTTTATTGTTTGGATTGCAGGGAAAGGAAGGGTGAGATCTGTTAAGCGATTTATTTAGGTCACGTTGTTATGGTGCTTGGCATGAACGGGAGCTGTGTGAGAGAGGGGTCTGCTTGAGCCCAAACCGAAAGGGAAAATCTCGGTGCAAATAATCGAAGGCAGAAGAAATACGCGGGAGCATGGAATTTTGAGTCTCTTCTTGCTTTTGTTAGCTCCTGGGGAGGAGTCTCTTGCAAAGCAAGGACCAGGTATTGATTGATCCAGGTTTGATTAAATACAAAGAGGGTTGGGAAGCGGAGAAACGAGAGTGTGATCTTTTTGAATGGCCTTCTACGGATTGAGAGAAAACAAAAACAAAGGACTAGATCCATGGAGTGGCTAATTCTTGTTGAATCATCCAATACATCCTATGTAAATGAAGGCAAAGAGTAGTAGTGTTGTCATCTACCAACATACCTAGGGAAAGTCATTAACTGAGAGATGGGTAAATAAGTACATCAGATACTAAGCTTAGGAGAATCGAATTGTTTTTCTTTTTTATCTGGCAGCAAGACGGGGGTCCAGGTTATTTCCCCAGACTTGCAATACTCTATTTGGGGGTGGGTCGG